GGGGTGGTTATGGAGGGGTCGTTTGCTGCGAGGGGGACGCGCGATGGGGTGTCCGCGGGTGAAGGCGGGCCGTCTTGGTTTTGGTCCTTCCAGAGTGCATTCGTGCGCGTCGACCGAACGTGGAAGGGCCTTATCGAGGCTTCGGGAGGTTGATAATGACAGGCTTGGACAGGCATGGCGGTAGCACATATCGCCGTCGTCGTTCCGTTTTCCCGCCAAGAGGACACGACGCCGTGGACGGTCCTTCTCCTAGTGTCATTTCAGTGCTGCGCGTCCGGAGCCGCATAAATGTCGTTCGCGGGAGGGTGATTCCACAACGCTTCTCGCCGTGCCAGGTGTTCCCGCCGCACATCTGCAGTGCCACAACGCTTCTCGCCGGGCGCGCTACAAGGTTCCCGCCGCGCATCTGCAGTGCCACAACGCTTCTCAGGCCACCTGCACACTTCCCGTCGTGCAGCTGCAGTGCCACAACGCTTATCACCGTCATCGCTTCCGCTCTTCTGGCAGTCAGTCTTCTCGCCGCGGAGCACTCCCGCCATCGCGAAGGACAGGTGTCACCGGGGACATCATCCTTCCGTGGTGCGCTTAGGCGTCATCGTCATCCTGCAGCGGAGGACACATTTTCAGCGTCGTCGGGATAGACAGTCTGGCCAGGCTGGCAAGAGACGGGTGACATCTTTTTCGACGAAACAGCACACGTCAGTCGAGCGCTACACCGAGATCGCTAGTGGGGGTCCCCAGCAAGCATTTCTGCGCGATTGAATGCCCGTGGCAAGAAGCGCGACGTCGCGCTTGACGAAACCCAACCCAGGGGAAAGGTCGTCGGCACGTCACGAAGGCGAAGAGGCTACGTTTGGATGATGCGTCAGCAAGCGTGCCGCATCGTGGTGCGCGAGGTTGGTCGCAGCCGGCGGAAGAGGACAACGACGATGATTTCATGACGGTGTACGATCAAGGCGAGGCGACGGCGTCTGTTGGACGGGAGAGTGTCAGGCAGCGTACTATGGATCAGAGCGCTTCGAAGAGGATGTCAACCCCTCCGCCGGAGGCGCAGCAACTGCGTGTCCGCGAAACGTGGAAAGAGAAGGGTGTTGTGGTGGACCTTGGCGGCGAAGACGACGAGCCTTTGGAGAGACTTCGCCTGCGCAGTACGACACAAGCGACCACAGCGGCGGTGTCGACGGCTCGCACTGCAGACGACGAAAGGCCGATCACAGGTGCACTGCCCTGCACGCCGTCTCAGCCGCGTCAGCGCAACGACGGTCGTAATGGTGCGTCTCGCCAACGAGGTGGTGGTGGGGGAGTCGTGGCAGACGCGCGTGCAGCAGGAGGGGAGGCGGCAGGCGGCGCGGGTGTGGCTGTTGCAGGTGTTGTCCCTCCCGTTCGGCCGGCGAGAGAGGAGGCTGCAGTTCCGGCGACGGTGAGAGAGGAGGGTCGTGGACAGAACACGAACCAACACGATGGCGGCGAGGCCGCTTCAAGCCAGGCACGCAGGGGAGTAATGACGAATGAACTTATCGACCGTGCGCTTCTTTGGGTGGATGACAAATGTTTCTGGACGAGGGGTGAAGGTCGCAGACTTTACAACATCGTCCACGAAACCAAAGAGTACTTCGTCGCCATCGCCAGCGGGCTTCCGCCACCTCAACTTCCGTGGAGCGTTGTCGTCCCCAAATCCAGCACGAGGGTGGCGAGGATCGCAGACCAATCACAGCTCCAGCAGGCGATCTCCCGTGCGGCGACGGTGGAGAATATAGCTCTGCGCATCTTGCACGGCTGGGTTCTCAAGTCCGGGAACCGCCCAAGGGGGTACAACCTTGCGTTCCAGTACTCATTGGAGTCCGTAGCGATGGACATTGCGCGTGCAATGTGGTACGGCGAGGAGTGGCGCAACGTCGTCAGCGCGTCGATCTGCGCCCACACGATAGATCTTAACATGGACCTTCCACTGTGGTACGCCGGCGCGAATATCGAGGACAGACCTGAGGACGACGACATGGCTGCGTACCAGGAGTCCACCGTCATCAGCATCGCGCATTCGTTCCGCCCGGCGGTGCAAATGGGCGCTCACATCGACGGCGATTTCATCTCCTACAAGCGTCTATGTCGGGTGGCTGACTGCTTCAGGCTGGCGGCGTCCATGTGGATTATGCGCATGGCGGGAGACGATCCGCGCAGTCACTACGAAGCGTTTTACTTCGAGGATCTCGTCGTCAGGCCGACACTAATCGCCTCCATGCATCGGTCCTTCGATCATCGACGATCCGTCGTCCGCGCCGCGAACGTCGTCACGGAGAGGCTTGGGAAGGCGAAAGTCACGCTCGGAGTGTACCCCGACTACATCCCTGATTGGGCACCATGCGGCATCGGATTTGCGCACGACGCAACCATCAAGGGGCCGGAGGATGCGAAGAGGCTGGATTGGTTGGGTTCGGGCCCCGCCGATGATGACATCAAAGGCGAAGGAAAAGACAACGCATAAGGCAGGCTGGTATGCGGGGGGAGAGTGGGGAGACAACGCTTCTAAGAACGAAGGCGCATGTACGTGTGGTGAGACGTGACGGGCTGTCATGTGATTGGAGTGTCGTGCGTGGCGCAGCTGATTAGCGTGTGGGCCGCCAGGATTCTCCAGAGTCCTCCGTCATTATTGTGCACAAATTTACTGTGGCGCCCGTGGCATAAGCACGGGTTGATTCAGTTCGATTATGTCATTGAAGTTTCGGTGGTTAGCGTGTTGGCCGGAGGGATTCGGCTGAATCTTCGACGGTGGCGTAGGTGTTTAGTGTGCGGCCAGTAGCGCCAGCACGGGATGATTGGTTTGCACCTTTGTTTTTCGTTTTTTTTTGTTTTTGTTTTTGTTTTCTTTTTATTTCTGCGGTCAGCGCACGTGGTTGTTTTATCAATGCATGGTGCTCGTTGTATCAAACGATTTGAAGCGCGTGGCGGTTGATTGTTGTTTGCCTTTTTGCGATGCGTGTGACAACTCTCACGACTCTGTCATATGWCGGTGTCATGAATGTGGTCATGTCTTTTGTGGGACACAGATGTCGTGCGTGTCATGCAGTGTCCTTGTCTGTGTTTCACTTGTTGTTGTTCTACGTAGTGGCTTCACGACATGCAATAGACATGCGATGATCACGGATTGAGAGAATGCATGACGGGATTGTATAAAAGCTTGTTGTACATGTCATCCCACCACAACAGCACACGAAACCGGTCATGGAAACTGAAATGAAGATATG